TTGTGGCCTTGAGAACTATGCCCGAGTCTATTATTTATAGACATCAAAAAGTTGCCAAAACGGCCCATTCCAGATTTAGAATGACCCGTTCTGTATCTGAACGTTATGTGTTAATTTTGCATCTTCGAACGGTCTGTTCTGAAACCAAAACGGTTGTTCCAGTGTTGAGTTTAACACGTAAATCCTAAGCTGGAACGGCCCGTTCAAAACTAAGGTTTTAGGCCTTTTTTGTAAATTGGAATGGCCCGTTTAGGAACGACCCATTCCAAACTTAGGTTTTAGGCCATTTTATGGACTTGGAACGACCCGTTTCAATTTTGCAACAGCCCGTTCTAGGCTACTAAAACCAGTTTGTTTGGGCTTTTAGGCCCTCTGATGTCATGTCTTGTTGCTTTCATGCTTCGGGAGCTCCTTTCCTTGATAATAGACGTTTATTTCATTGCTTTTGTGGATCCAGATGAAATTGGGTGTCTACATGTCTTCTAGTTCATTAGGCTCTATCTTATGATTTCACCACTTCATGTTGATGTTTGGCCAACTGTCGTCTCATGCTTGACTTAGTCTCATACAATGCTTGTTTTGGTCTTACATCTGATTCCTTAGGCTCCAGCTGATAGATTCGTCTTATCTTGTATTTGATTTAGGCCTGGATCAACTTTAGTCTTGATACTAGCTTTTGTCATCGTCTGATGTCTTGTTCAACTTGATTATGCTTGATCATACTTGTCCTTCATTTTTCTTGAACTTATTGTTATTTATCTGAAACACTAATACACATGTTAGCAATAACAATATGTATTAAATTTTTCATATTCAAAACCTCGGTGAGAATTGCAAATGCGCTTCATCTGACTTAACATACATGAGAGAATTAAAATCTCATACTCCTAACAAAATAAGTTTGCCATACATATTAACTTTAAGTTATTGAACAACTTTGGTGCTACTAATGAATATCTATGTGAGGATTTTTCTAAGTTGATGCAGGCAAAGTCCAAAATGAGCATGATGGGGGGAATTAAAGTTCTTCTTAGGACTTCAGATTAAACATGCAAATGAAGGTATCTATATTCATCAACAAAAATACACTAAGGAACTTCTTAAGAAGTTCAGAATGGATTAATGTAAGCTTATGCTTACTCCCATGCACCCGTCTAGAAGCTTGTCAAAAGATGAATCAAGTAAACATGTGGATTAGACGATCTATAGAGGCATGATAGGGTCTTTACTCTACCTCACAACAAGAAAACCTGACATCATGTTTAGTGTTTGTTTGTGCACTACTAGATTTTAGTCTGATCCTAAGGACTCTCATTTTAAGTTTGTTAAATGTATTCTCATATATCTTCCATGTACTACTAACCTTAGTTTCGTTCTTCAAGAAAAAATTATAATTTCATGCTAATAGGGTTCTGCGATGCTGATTATGTTGGAGATAAAGTGGAAAGAAAAAGCATAAGTGGAGGATGCCACTTCTTGGGAGACTATCTAATCTCCTAGGCAAGTAAGAAGCAAAACTCCGTTATGCTATCTATAGTTGAAGCTGAGTATATTTCCATAGCCAGATGTTGATAATGACTACTATGGGTCAAATTTAAACTTAAATACTACTCAAGTTTTGAATCGTATATCCTAGTATTTTGTGATAACAATAGTGATATCAACTTATCCAACAAGCCCATACAACATTCCAAAGCTAAGCATATTGAAATAAGATATCATTTCATTTGTGATTATGTCCAAAAATGAGTTTTTGAAATAAGATTCATTGATACTGATCACCAATTGGTTGATATCTTTCCAAAGGATTTATTTGAGGAATATTTTATCTTCATTAGAAATCATCTAGGCTTAAAACAATTATCAGAATAAAATTCATATTAGTTTCGTCTTTCAGGCATTGTCTGTTCATTTCACTTTTTCTTCGTTTAACCATGCATCATCTGTGTATTCTAACATGGTAATGTTTGTAATGCTAATATGCACTAACATTTTGTCCAATTGTGTTAGGTGTAGTTAGTTCTCACAAATCCCAAGACATCATTAGCGCATGAACATCGAAAAAGGAGAACATGGGGAGAGGAATTGAGGTGACGTGTGTACCTACCAAAAAGAAACCATTTTCCTTTAGCCTATAAATAGCCTTTCGAAATCGCGTTCCCTCTGTTTTGAAAAATTGCTCCTATTCATCTTCTTCTACCTCCAATTTTTCTTCACAAACCTTTCCCAAACACCATACAAACACAAAAAATGGCACCCAAAGTAGCACCCTTTGGAAGAAAGGTACAAATGGAGGAATACCCACTTAACATTTTCCTCCCTAGGAAGACAATGGCCATAGCTGACTTACAAGCCAATGGCTATCTAGCCTAGCATTTCCCAGACCTTGACGGATAGAATAAGTATGTATTGCTGAAGGCGGACTAGTTCCATGTGCCCTACATTAACTTTTGGGCATCCATTGAACAAGAGACGAATGCCATTGTTGGGTGCGTTCGAGAAACGATGGTTAGGGTCTATCCCCTGATCATTATATCTATCACCAAGATGATAGAGAACCAAGAGAGATATGATGAAGATTGGGAGGCTGGGCTCACTCCAAGAACGATAGATGCTTAGCTCTACTAGAACAGGCCTTACCCCACCTTGCGAGGAGAGTTGAAAAGTTTCTTAGATAGGCAAACTTGAAGCCAACCTGTAGAGTGCTTCACAACCTTCTCTTCAACATCTTCCTCCCTCAAACGGCTTGCGAGACTATGTCACAGAAGTTGACATGTTTTTCTTGTACAAGATCTAAGTGGAGGATAACGTAAATCTACCTAATCTTTTTTTACCTCCATTAGAAGTCTTTCCTAACCTAGAGAGACCATGATCGGATGAAGAGAGCTCTGATTCTATATGCCATGCTTTTCAACAAGATCCTCAAACACCACATTGTAGACTTGCCTAGCTACTAGAAGGGGCCAGACGGTGGCGAGGTGAATGTGACCACCTTAAAGCGAATGGGGATTACTCACCTCTTCACTCAGGTCAAGAGTGAGACCAAAGCACAACCGTCGTAGAAGAAGTGTCAGATTGCCTTATCTTCCATCACCATCCGTGAACCAAACCTTCCTCAACCAAAAGCCAAATTACCATTATCCACCTCTTCATCTAACCCACCATCACCACCACCCAATATTAAAGCACTAGGGGTCTCGCTAGAGAAAGGAGAAATGGAGTTTTCGAAGGAGGATGTGGAAGAGAATGATGAAGATGAACTAGAAGTAATGTTATCCTCCATGCCGCCAAATGAGGGAGACTTTATGCTATTGTTAGAACTCATAAAACAAGGAACGAAAGAAGACATACTTGATTGTTACTCGATTTTCAGATATTGAAGGTAGGAGAAGGGCTAGTATTCAATATGTTTGAAAGTTGGAGGTTGCAAGTAAATCCTTGAGAGGGAAAAAAATTATTCATAGATGAGAGAAGTACGAGAAATGAAACATCACATCCCCTGAGACTGTTAGATCATTTCAAGATTAATGATATGGAGAGGCATAACCCTTTGCATTTTAGAGTACGTTTCACACCTACTCTTAGCTTCTAAAGTCTTTCTAGGATTTCTAACATGTCATCAACGCATTTGATGTGACCTTTAAGATGAAAGAGTACTCAGAAGGTGATAATTATGAAAGTAATCAAATTTCAGGCAAAAAAAATTGAAATTGAGAATTTGAAATCTTCAATGAACTAGAAACTCTTGTCTCGTACATCAAAGACTTGGGGGGCTTTTATACTAGAGAGGTCTCGAGGTCGATAAGTTGTTGGCCCCAATTATGAAAGAACTTGAAAGACCCGATATGTGGTCAATTATTAGCATCAGAACTATCAAAAATACATACCAGAGGATAATTCGGCCAAGGTTGCACCCCATCATTACAAGTAACAATGTTCGACTATTACAAGACAGTAAAGACTCTTAAATAGGCTTAATGGTCGAATCATTAACGGTAACATTCCTTTACCTATAAATATACTTGCATCAGACCTTCATAAGATAAGTAATATATACGCGTAAATATACACAATACACTCGATCACTTCGATTACTTGTTGACTTTGATATCAAAGTCTTTTTGCAAGTACAAATATTAGAATGTAAGAACTAGAACTAGTTCAATTGTCGATAACTAATAACAAATATCAAACCTATATTCTAACAAATCCTCTTAATTTCATACAAACTTACCAAGCACGTGTAACTATTTAACTAAGTTAATACATATATGCTTAGTACCGAGCTATAGATATTTATATTGGTAACCAACCTAATTGTCTTTGTATACACACACATGTGTGTATACACGCGTGTGCATGTATATGTGTATGTGCGCACATGCATGTATGTCTACGTGTATGTATTAATTATTATTAAAATATTAAATTTTAATAATTTATTTTACCATACTTTTTTAAATATAAGATTCTTTTAATTAATTTACATGTATTAAGAAAGTTATTTAAATTTTAACACATTATTTTATTTATTCAACATTGTCCTTAAAGTTATAATTGGAACCCATCAATTATATATCACTTTTCATTCAATCTGTAAGTCATCTTCTTCGATCATCATAATGAATTTATCTAATTAATTTATAATATTTATTACAAAGTAGCTAATTTAAGAGCATTTCGATAAATAAAAAAATTAATACAATAGAAATTTTGAATAAGCCTTATCAAAAGAGATTAACTAAATTAGAAAACAAATATTATATATACACGGGACAGAAATACATTATTTGCATTACTATAACGGGAACATTAATAGCATGTTTGAATTTGTATTAAAGGAGAATGAATCCATGTCTCTTCCAAAAGTTAATCTTAGTAACTCTTGTATCTATGTCATTTGACGTGATCGTTTTAAAAAATATGAGTTTTTGATGCGTAACCAAACAGCTATTAAATTTCTGAACTTTTCATTAATGGTTTCCACGTGCTGCTGAAGATACGGCAAATCAAACTTCATTAAAACAATACCGAAATAATATAAAGCACGCTACATTAATATACATTATTTGAAGCATAAATATTCAATTATACATTATGCTTACTGAAGCACACTTCAAGACATCACCAAAATTACATCCACATCCAAATTTATTCCATTCGAACTAAGGACGCTAATAAGTATCCTTCTCGTCAATTATCACACCCATTATTCCGAGTAATGTTATATATATAATAAAAATTATACAATAATTTATACAACTTTACTTTTATATTTATTTTTTCCATCATTTCATTTATTCTAGAGATAGATATTATTAATGATGGAGAAAAATAGACATAAAAGTAATATTGTACGTGTTATTGTACACTTTTTAATTATATATCTAAAATTACTCCATTATTTATTAGTTTTTATTTTCGACTTGGATATCTATGCCTTGAGAAGATGAGCATCAATATCTTTAGTGCATTTGTGCACATACTCGATGTAGCCATATGGAGGATCAACTTCATTATCAATCTTCTCATATTCAACGGTCCATTTGATAATAGCACCACCATGATCCTTATCAATGGCTTGAAAGATGAGCTTAAAGTCCTTATACTTATGATCGATATCTCCCTCATAGAGCTTGTAGTTAATTGTTTTATTCTGTTCATCAACGGATTCAACACGTTCCTTACATGTTGTAACCTTACCATCTGTTGTTTCACAGGCAATCATGAGAAATAACAAAAACAATGTATAAAACAAAAAATACAAACATCTGTAACTTTTTTTTCTCCCAATTTTAATCTTAGTCATCTCTAATTTTATTTCCTTTTTAAGAAATTAATCTTTCCAGATCTTATGATTTGAAAAAATATTATTTTAGTTCATCATCTTGCTAGTAAGATAAGTTACATAACAATAAGAAGTTGATACAATTATGTATCATTAACTTAATTTATTGTTTTCACTTACAAGAACACTATTATATAAATTTTGTGTAAAAATATTTGATAAATTCGCTAATAATATTTTAGTAAAAACATTAAACTAAGTTTTTTTAATCAAATTACAGGGATTAAAAAATAATTTTAAATTTAAAAAATAAAAATAAATTTATCTCATATTTAGAGATTAAAAATATATTTAGGTCATTTTACACTTATGAACCACTTTTAAAACTTAAAAACATTATATATAACTATTATTAAACTTTTAAAGTATAAGAATTCAAGCTTTTGAAATGTAAACTTTAAAACTAAAAGTGAAGGAATTATGGAGACAAATATATTCAATTTAGGAAAAAATATTATACCTATTTTCGTTTGCATATTAATATAGTTAGAGTTTGATTACCTATGGTATAAGTCCAGTGTTTGATGGACTCCGTATGATGCCAGTCATCACCATGATGCAGCTCTGTTCCATGAACCCTATCAGTAAGGTTTTGAACATGATGGAGTTGCTTTGCGAAGAGGTCGAACCACTTTTCAGCGGTTGCGTGAACCCCAATTTCAGTGCTGATTTTGCCTACAAGTGACATGATCAAGAGAGAAGCAAGTAATGGAACAAAGCAAGATGGATGAGAGTATGGCAACCATATACGGGTTATATAGAACATAATTTACCTACACCTGACAGCTTAATAAATTATGGCATGGGCTTTTGAAATTTCCGATAGGCTGCAAAAAAGGAAAGTATCAACCATTTTTAATTCTTTTTTAAATTCAAAATATAATTTTGTAATAAGCATTGGTGGCTAAGTAATAAAAGTCGGTTACTCAATTTATGAATTTTTCTTTTTACTAGTATGTAATTTGTATTTATATTATCTATTATTTTTAAATTTTAATGTATTATTAGAAATTTCATAAGTGATAAGAAAGCCAAAATATAATATATAAGTGTAAATAATCCTTATCTTATAAGTCGACTTTGTAAAAGGTCTAATTTCATTTATTTTGATCATATTCTTGCCAAAACATAATATATTAGATCACCTTTTGGAATATTATCAAATCACTGTAAATGTTTATTTTTGCAAACATTACATTTAAAATATCTAGTACTTAATGTGAGGGGATTATGCTAAAAATTTCATATCAATTAATAATATATAGGCTTAATTGCATTTTTGATCATTCAAGTATAACAATTATGCAATTTTGGTCCCCAAAGTTTTAATTAAGTAATTTTAGTCCTTAAAAGATTGCAATTGTGTGATTTTAGTCCCTCAATTTTTAATTAAACAATTTTAATCCCTTAAATATCATAATTATGCGATTTTAGTCTTTTTCATTAAAAATTTGATAATTTTAATATATATAAAATATTTTAAAATTATACAATTGTTTGCTTATTTAAGTTGATGTATATTATGATTTTTGTTAATGTATCAAAAGATATATATTTATTATTACTAAATAAATAAAATTTATATATTATTAGTATTTTAATATTACTGATAAATTAATATCAATAATATTTTTAGTATATTTATAGGTAAACTAATAATTTGATAAATATAGCTTAGTATATATTAATATACTTTTACAAAAATGTAAATATATAAAATAAGATATATATTTCTAATTAATATACTTATATTTTTGTAAAAGTATATTAATATATAATAAATTATATTTATCAAATTATTAGTTTATCTATAAATATAATAATAATATTATTGATATTAATTTATCAGTAATATTATAAAAATAATAATATATAAATTTTATTTATTTAATAATAATAAATATATATCATTTGATACAATAAATAAAATTATAATATACTTTAACATGAATAGATAAATAATTGTATAATTTTAAAACATTATATATATATATATATATATTAAAATTATTAAATTTTTAATAGAAGAGATGCAAATCACATAATTATGATATTCGAGGGACTAATATTGTTCAATTAAAAATTGAAGGACCAAAATCGCACAATTGCAATCTTTAAGAAACTAAAATTACCCTATTAAAATCTTGAGATCAAAATTGCACAATTGTAATATTTGAGGATCAAAAATGCAATTAAATCTAATATATATGACTGTCAAAATACATCATATAAATAAGAACAATTTTTATCTTACAAACTAATTTTATAAAGTTGAATTACCCTCTAATTCACTTTTTTAACAAATATGAAATCAATTAGTAGATTCTTAATTATATTCTTTAAACAAAGAGGATGATAATGAGTGAAATGTCAAAATAATAAATAAGAGATGAAGAAGATAACATGATGTTATAAATAATTTAAATAAAATGAGGAGGAAGAATTAAAATATGTTATTAAAATATATATATATA